GGTGAGCTGCCCGAGCGCCCGGAGCCCATCTTCCCCACAGAAGTCGTAGAGGAAGCGGCCTGAGCTCGAGCGCTTCTGGACCAGGCTGTCCACATCCGTGTTTTCAGGCCGCAGGACTGAAGTCTGTCTTCTTCATCTTGGTTTTGCTCTAAAACTTCACTAACTTTGTGCTGCTTCTTCTCCTTTACCATTTGGTGAAATACACATATAGCCTTTCTGCCTGTGTGCGGTCCGTGTCTCACAGCCATCACACTTCCAGGGCGGTAGGAGGTTCTGTTTATGTACCTGCGCCCCTGTCCATCGGGGAGGGAAGGGGATGACCTCATAAAAGTATCTGGGACTTGTGTTGCCAGCTCCGGACTCAGTTCAAACACCTCACACTTTACAAATGAAAACATCTCTGAGAAGCAAATCTTTTCCACCAGGAGCTTTCTGTGCGGGAACATGTGTGCATCTGCGTTTACATTACACACCTGTGCTGGGAAGCACACACACGGTTTTGTAGCCAACCTTACGCAGAAGTAGGAGCGTTTCACCGTCCTGTGTAACAGCCAAGCAGTGGCCTTTGCCCCGATTCCCTCCTCTTTCTAAATGTTAGTTTTTCTTGTATTATGTATATCCTTGGGAGCCTCCTTCAATCCTTCTCGGAACAGGAATGAGGGTAAGTGAATAAACACGTGCATGGGTGGATAACTGTCCTTAAGGGAACTAAATGCTCACTTATTGACATGACAGCACTGACAGGTGACTGAAGACGGTGCAGGTGGAGGGTGACTGCCCTGCCCGCTGTGAGCCAGCAGAGAAGGAACAGAAATGAACTCACTCCATCACATACCTACGGATACCACCTGCTTTGTATGGTTTAGAATCTCTGTTAAAAGTTATCATTTGCTTTACCCCCAAATTATATAAATTGCTATGTACTGACGTGTGGGAGAGTTGGCTAAACTTAGATTTCTGGCATATTCTGTATGTTTTCACTAAACACACAGAGGACCTCTCCTCTTGAAGAGGACTGACAGGGAAAAGTCATGGTCTGATGCCCAGGCCTTTCCCTCGAAGCCAGTGGTTCTCAACCTTCTGGCCCTTTAAATACAGTTCCTCATGTGGTGACCCAACCATAAAATTATTTTCGTTGCTACTGTTATGAATCTTATGAATTGTCATGTAAATATCTGATATGCAGGATGGTCTTAGGCGACCCCTGTGAAAGGGTCGTTCGACCGCCAAAGGGGTCTCGACCCACAGGTTGAGAACCGCTGTTAAGCAATGACTCAAGGTCGGTTCCAGGGCCGCGTGTCCCAGAGCGCGGGCAGGAGGACTGGGGTCTCACTCCATGCCGGGAGAAGAGCGTCCAGGCTGTGGTTGCTACCGCCTCTCCTGCTGCTTACAGCAAATGGGGGGTCTGAGAAACTGGAGGGAAAGTCCATCTGAAAGGCAGGAAGAACAGACTGGGTGCTCACATAGCCTTTGCACATGTACATGGGTATGCACACACACACGCATGAAACATGGGAGATCATATAAGAGCATGCCCTGGAACTATGAAACAAGTTATAATTGGATGACTGAAACTAGAGAAAAAATGTACAACTAAGTAAATAGTTAAATAAAGTGAACCAATGAGGTGATTGATGACCTCAACCCGATCAGCACTTTAATTTCAGCACAGAGCGCAGCCCATTCACCTTGACCGCACTTGAGGACTGGGGCCACCAGTGGGTAGGTAGCATTTTAACTTAAAAATTTTTTTAAAGTGATAAGCACTGTTTCTGTTTTCTCTGTCTACATTTATTATGTGACAGGTAATAGATATAGAGCATATAGATCACCTGTAAGATACCAACTGTAAAAGAGGTGAAAGAAACTAGTCATCCCATTTTGAGAAACGACAGAGGGACTGGGAAAGGTCAGTGCGCGGAAGAAACTTCCATCCAGCCCTTAAGTGGGAACTGCTTGGTGACCCTCCCAAGGTCAGTGATGATGATGATGATGGACGGCCATCCACCTTCCCCCACTTAGTTCCACAGAAGCTCAAGTTGTCCCATGATTGAAGTGATTACACACGTATAGTGTGCGTTTAGGAATATCATCCAAACTTTGTTTTGTAAGATTCTGTGATATGGACTACCATTGACCTGACAGACAACCTTAAAATTGTCTGGAAAGATAAACAGTGATTTTTACCTGTACTCCTCCATTTCCAACATCTTACTGTTACGATGGATAACTGCACTGCCCCTTCCAATTGTACAACAGCCTATGTAGGGTATCTATACTTTTTATATGCAAAGAGCTACGAGCGTACCTTGAAGACACAAGCACCAGTCTTCCCAGGTCTCCCACCCCCGCCTAACTGCTCGCTATAAAACGACACCACAGAAGGGGCAAACTTTCCTAAAAACTGATGTGAAAAGGGAAAAACTGTAGGCAGAGAAAGGTGAATAAAATCCTACATCAAATATCTTCATATCAAATTAATTTTAAATGACTGTGATCACGGTGAAAGAAAGGAAGCAGCTTAGAAAAGGCAAGAACACTCCTGCCCTAGCTGGTCTGCGCACCGAAGGGTCCGGGGTTCGATTCCAGTCAAGAGCACATACCTCAGTTGTAGGTTCCTCCCTAGCCTGGGCCCTGGTTGGGATGCGTGCAGGAGGCAACCAATCTATGTGTTTCACTCTCTCTGAAAATCAATGGAAATATATCCTCGGGTGAGGATAAAAAAAAAGAAAAGAAAAGGCAAGAACAGTCAAAATACCAGTTACTGCCTGCTGCCTGGCCTAATGCATCCCACCACATAGTCACCTCCGACCCTGGAAGCGAGGCTGCTTCTATAACTGCACCATCCTGTCACGTGTGTGATGAACCAGGGGACGGAGCACACATCCTCCTGGTGCTAAATGTGGATGACACACCCCTATGGGCTGATGACAGACACAGGAGGGAGGACAGCACGAAGCAACAGGGAATACAGTCCTCAGAATACACCACTTTGTGGGTTATTAAAAATAACAGACGTTATCAGCGCTCCTGTTATTCCCTTTTTAAAGAATGTCCGATTTGGGGAACTGAACCAAACATGTCAATAACCACAAATGACGTTTAGTGGGAATCTGTGGGTGCTTTTTAATAAGTGGGGTGAGGAGGGCTCATCACAGCAGAACAGAACTTGTTTAGGTGAATGAATGCAGTTAGCAGTGAGCATATCACACACAGCAGCATCCCGTTAGAGAGCGTTACAGTGGAAAACATCACACTTTCATTTCCCAGGAGTAAACTGCTAAGTAACTGTAAAGTCGTCCCTGGAAGAACACGGCAACAGTCAAGCATAACGAACCTACAGGAAGATCATTGTGTCCAAATCGAGGAAGGACGCGTACCTGCCTGCCTACCTCTTCAAGCCTATGCTTAGCACACGTGCAAAAATCAAGTACAATACAACTACTGCAATTATTACTATCATTTTCTCTTGCCCTTAGGTGAGCAACACCTGACAGCTACATGCTGAGCTCGGCTAACAAAACGAAACCTTTCACTTCCTTTAATAGCAAAATTACCATTACTGAATCACTGTCGTAAAAAAATGCATTCAAGTACATGACCACTTATTTTAAATAAACACCAATTTTGAAACAATCAACTTTGAAAAGCTGCATACGTGTGTGTTTTTTTTAATCCCTGATTACATTTCTATTTATTCACTGTGGTAGACCGAAACATTGTATTTTTAGAGACTAACTACCACTTAATTCCTTACAAAAACAACAACAAAAAACAACAAACCTGTGTAATGTAGAACAGCAGTAAAGGAAATTGTCTGCTTGTCGCTGCTCTTCACTATATGTAAGAACTGTGATGAAATATGGTACCTGTGCCCCATGAGTACATGAGAAAACACAGTGAACTCATAGCACAGAGCAGAGGGTTTACCAAGACTCTGTTACATTCAAGGACTGGACTGCACCTCGATTCTGCACTCGGGCCACCAGCGCATTCCCACCGAAGACCTTGGGAGGTTTTGGACTCAATCTTCAGCATGTATTTTCATCCCATAGGTAACAGTGTGCATAATTAACACTGATTATGGGGCCACTGGTTTGACGCCAGCTCCTGAATTTTAAGTTTATCTCGGTATATCCTAGCAAGTAACTTGCATGCCACAGTGCCTAACAATTCCCATGCTACTGCGGTTTCTCCATCAAAGAGGATTGGATCCGAAAAAACAGCTCATTTGAGGGCTTTTTAAATCACCTCAAATTGTTCGGTTCTGTTTATCCAATTATCCACAGCCCTACAAACTTTCAGCATTACTTTTGAATAGTGGTATGTACATTAATAAAAAGGATAGAAACATCTGAATTTTCTGTAGCCTTCTAAAAGAAGTCACATTTCATACAGTAATTAGGAAAAAAAAAACCACCTTATCCCTACGAATATAAAAAACTACATAGAATGTGCATTTTGCTAAACAGCTTACTTACTAGTATATTGATAGGCGAACTACTTACAAAAGTGACATCAGAGAAGAACCTGTTTTCTGAATCCAGGGACAAGAACAGAATGTCTCTAGAACTAAACATGTGCTCCTCATGTCACCTTCTGGCTCAAGGATCAGCAGCTGGAGCTGTCTGTGTCTCTCATTTTTTCAGCACTGTCTTCTTTATATTCTGGTTTAATTTCGCCATCATCATCCTTGCGTGGAGTTGGATCTTGTTCGGCACCCTGGTCTTTGGTTTGGGGTTCATGTGTGGAAACAGGATCTAAAACTACAACTGGTTCGGCTTGGTTTTCACTGCCAATGTATTGTCTCCTCCATCCCGGGTCACTGGGAGGCCTAGGGGATGAAGAGTTAAACAACAAAATAATTAAACGCAGAGGGAAAAATATTTGTCTTTCCTACTCCTGGATTCAGACGAACAAAAAAACACCCCAAGACGTTCTAAGTCTAAGCAACATGCGCACAAAGTGGTCTTTGAGGTGCCAGCCATTTACAAAAATGAAGCTATTAGGTTACAGATTTAGGAGCACAAAGCCAGGAGAAAGAAGGCG